TGAGAAGCCTGCGCACCTCAACCAAGAGTCACCATAAATAAAAAGACCTGGGGGAGATGTCTCTGAGGAGGGACTTCTAGCTGAATGGGATCCTCTAGACCTAGTTACATCTTCTGAGCTCCTTCCCAGCTGATTTGCATCCTGGTCATTCACTACGCAGGTGCAAGGGCTGGTAATTCCAGCTTTTCCAGGGAATAAAGGGAACAGGACCCAGAGTCAGGAGAAGTGATTTCTGGTGCTAATTCTCACCTTCTGATGACAGAGCTGCTGATACGCCCTTGGAGAATCTAGCCTGTCCCCTGGGATCCTTCCTCCTGTAAGTGACATCTAGCTGTGCTCAGTGCTGACCAGAACATTTTCAAGCGCAACAGACAGAACTTGATGAAAGGCCTACCCTGGGTTGTATAAGCGGGAAGGACAGGATGCCTCGGCGTGACAGATCCAGGACTGCATGCATGTTGTCAGGACCACTGTTTTCTCTCTCGCCACCTCTTAGTGATGCTGCTCCCTGGGTGCTGGCTTAGCGTCCATGACCTCAGAAGGGCTTTTTCCACATAGCAGGGAGGATGGCCACTCACAGCCCCAGGTTCAAATCCTTCCAGCATCTCAGAGGCAGGAGGCTGTCTTTTTCCTTGGTTTCTACAGAACAGTCCCAGTAAAGGCTCTGATTGGCCTGGCTTGGTCATGTGCTCACTTCTGAACCAGTCTCTGCACCCAGCTGCGTCGTGTGCCCACATGTGGCTGAAGTCGGGCCGGGTGGCGGGGTGCAAGGTGTGTTATCAGTGGAAGGGGCACGAGGAAAATCATGTTAAGCAGCCCAAATCCATGGCTACCTCGGCCCCCAGCTTGCCTGCGTGGGTCGGATAGCCATGGTCCCTGGTGGATGATGGGGGACAAGGATGAAACAGAAGCCAGGGAAAGGATGAAAGTAAGAAAGAGTGAACCCAGAGGGTGAAGAGCCCGGAAAGGTGGAAATACTCCTCTTATCCTTGGGAAGCAGTAGTTTCAAACAGGAGAAACCTCACCTCCCTGGGCAGGGAGTCCAGAGTCACATCACACCTCCAGAAGCAACTCGGAGTGCCTTCCGTGGGGAGAGTACCTCCACGAGCTCACGCTGCAAAAATACAGATGGTAGCTGTGGACTCACAGAGCTTGTCTGAGGTTCTATAGAAGCAAGGCCTGAGATGGGGGTTCTTGGTAGGAGTGTTCTCGGGAGAAGAGGAATGAGGGAAGCCCGAGAGGACAGAGGAAAAAGCCAAGAAAGATGTGGTGCAGCTGAGTTCTAACCTCAGCCTGATCCCGCAGGGAGCTCTATAGCACTAATGGCGCCAGAGTTGTCTGGCCTTGAGACAAGGGACTAGGCTTTTGCACCCTGTATCTGTCAGTCATTGGCTGGGGGTCATCTCCACAGGGAAGGCAGTCATTTCTAGGCAGCCCAGGGCTCTGAAGGAGGAAACAGCTGAGAGCCGTGAGCTGCCGGCACTCACAGCTGCTGGGGGAAGTGTGGCCAATTAAAGGGCATTGGGTGGGCCCCCTAGAGGGCTGCTGTAAGGTAATGTATTTCAAGTGCCCATCAAAATGCTGGGAGTTATCACCATCATTTTATCTCTGTTGTACAAAAGTAATAGTAAACATTACATAACGCGTGGTTCTCTGCCAGATGCTGCGCTCAATAATGTAAGCATGCGTAGGCAGTAGGAGTCTAGACAGACATAGGTTCACATCCTGTTCCAGCACTGCCGCGGACTAGTTTTGTGATTTGGGGTGCGTCATTTAACCCCTTTGAGCCTGAAAGGATTCCTGAACCCAATTCCAACGTGTGTGCGTGTGTGTGTGTGTGTGTGTGTGGAGGCCTCCCACACCAACAAACTCAATTTTGACACTATCTACCAGGAGATAGAATCGGATTCCACAGGTAAAGGGTTCAGTCCCACAAGACTGCCCTTCACCTCAGATGCCAGTCGTAAGACAAGATTGTTACCTGCGCTTCTGACCGACTGGCTCTAAATCAGAGGTCCCCATGACCCCCTCCTTAGGTTTGATTAATTTGCTAGAAGAGCTCACAGAACTCGGGAAAACCCATTTACTCACTAGATTGTCAATTTCTTACAAAGGATATCAAAGGATACGAATCAACAGCCAGATGAAGAGATACATGGGGTGAGGGCCCCAACAAGGAGCTTCTGTTCTTGGGAAGCTTGGAGCCTGGCTCACTGGCACGTGGAAGTGTCTGGTTCACCAACGTAGCTCTCCAAAATCCCTCCTTTTTTGGTTTTTATGGAGGCTTCATTACATAGGCATGATTGATTAACTCATTGGCCACTGGGGATTGAATCAACCTCCAGCCTCTCTCCCTTCCCTGGAAATCAGGGAGTGGGACTGAAAATTCCAACCCTCTATTCCTGTTTGGTTGCCCTGGCAACCAGCCCCCATCCTTACTTAGATGCTTTACAGAAGTCACCTCATTAACATAAACCCAGCTATGGTGGAAAGGGCTTGTTATGGGTAACAGGACACCCATTTCACCTTCCTGGCTCCAAAGCAGTTTTGGGGTTCTTTTGTTTTGCTTTGTTTTTGTTTCGTTTTGTTTCAGGAATTACGGACGAGAAACCAAATATTGTAACAAAAGATGCTCCCATTGCTCTTATTGTTCAGGAAATTCCAAGGGTTTTGGGAGCTGTGGATGAAGACCAAATATATCTGAGAAATATACTTTGATCCTCTGAAGGACCTAATTATATATATTTCTTATAAATCACAGTATTGCAAAGCCTCAGAGTCTAATCCATAAAATGGGCTAATAACCAGAGCTACCTCTTGGGGCTGTTGCAAGGGTGATGCGAGATCATCCCTGAGGTGCTTTTGATGCACTGCTTGGAGCAGAGGAAGCTCTCAAGTAATTCTTAGTTATTTTTAGCCTCTGAGGCCAGACTGTCTAAAAGACCAGAGTTTTAGCTCACAGACACGTGGAGGTCACTGACTTATTTCACAAAAGACGGGAGTAAGAATTTGCATTATGTACAAGATTAATCCAAGGGTGATTAAGGGATCAAATCTGTTTTCAAAAAGACCATGTGAAAGCACAGCCTGAGCCTGTCTGGGGATGGAAAGTGCGGGCCTTGGTAGCGGCTCCTCTGGTCCACACAGGTCACTGCTCGGAACCAAGGGGACTCAACCTTAAGCTTCCACGAAGGCTTGTCAGCCTGAGGTCACTACCTCTCACTTGGTGGATCAGCTTTTCCTGCCTGTAACCGAAAAGGATGTATGTCCTGGTACAGATTAGCTCAGGCTCTGCCGTCAGACAAACCTGGGGTGTGCCCTTGCTCTGCACCCTAACAGCTGTGTGGCTATGAACACGGCCTCGCTAAGTTTCATTTCCTTCTCAGTTAATAGAGGAAAATAATATCTGCATCTAGGGTTACGGTAGAGAATTAAATGATATCTGTAAACACTTAAATCAGTGCCTGCTCCCAAAGAGCAGCTACTATTGTTGTTATGGATGTTTATTTGTTCAACTAATATTTACGGACCCCTTATTATGTGTCAGCACTGTTCTTGGTAGTGGGAAGATTTTGGCAGGAAAAAACATGACGTTTCTGCTCTTAGGGAGCTTCCAGTGAGAAGAGACAGTTAACAAATAACGAAGAAAAACCCCAGGCTGTGGGATGAATGGGAGATGGGGATTGACATATATACACTATCGATACTAAATAGTATCAATGTATAAAATAGATAACTAATGAGTATAAAATAGATAACTAATGAGAACCTATTGTGCAGCACAGGGAACTCTACTCAATGCTCTGTGGTGACCTAAATGGGAAGGAAATCCAAAAAAGAGGGGAATATATGTATACGTACAGCAGATTCACTTTGCTGTACAGCAGAAACTAACACAACATTGTAAAGCAACTATACTCCAATAAAAGTTAATTAAAAAAAAAGAAAAACCCCAGAGTGGTTAAGTGTTATGCAGGGAATTAAAATAGGATATGTGATAGCACTGAGCCAGATTCTTTAGTCTAGACTCTACGTTAGAAAGGCCTCTCTGAGGAAGTGAGGTTCAGGCTGAGATCTGAGAAACAGGATGGCACCAATGAGGCAATGATGTGGGGAAAGGAGATTCCAGGCCCAGAAAGCAGCTAGTGCAAAGGCCCAGAGATGAAAACGAGTTGTGTGTGATTAGAGCAAGGTCAGAATGTTTGAGGGACGCACAAAACTCAGGTAGCTGTAGCATAGCGAGAGAGGGTGGTGGACAGGTGAGAGGTGAGTTTGGGACAGTAGACAGAAGGGACCATTTAGGATTTTTCTAAGTCAGGTGAGGAGGTTGGGTCTTAATCTAAGTGGAATAGAAAGCAACAGGATTTTAAGCCAAAAAGAGACATAATTTGAAATAAGCTTTTAAAAGTTCACCTGGATAATTTCATCCAGTATTTAAAGAAGTAATAATACATCCTATATATATTTCAGAAAACTGAGGATTCAGGAACACTCCCTAGTTCATTAGATGAGGCTGGTATTATCCTAACAACAAAGCCAGACAGACATCATAAGAAAACTAAAGACATGAATATCGATACAAAAATTCTTAACAAAATATTAGCAATCTGAATCCAGCAACATGTCTTTAGTGACTTTTCCTCTGATACTCCAGCTGCAGCCTTCCAGACCTCCCTCTTCCAGCTTCACCCAAGGTCTAATTCCAATATTAGGCCTATTAAATCTCGAATACATGTAAAAAATGCATTTGAAAAAATGCAACACCATTCCTGATAAAAGCTCTCAACGAAATAGGAAAAGAAGGGAACTTCCTCGGTCTGAAAAGGGGTATCTGTGAAAAAACTACAGCTAACTTCATACTTAATATGAAACACTGATTGGTTTACCCCTGAGATCAGGAACAAGGTGAAGATGCCCCCTCTCATCAGGCCTATTCAATATTGTACTAGAGGTTCTAGTCAATGCAATAAGGCAACAAAAAGAGATAAAACACATCCAAATTGGAAAAAACGAAGTAAAAAACTGTCTTTATTTACAAATGACATGAAAATCCTAAGGAACCTATCAAAAAACAAACATACAAGCAAACAAACCCAAACTACTATGACTAATAAATTCAATGACTGACAATCCAATTTTTAAATGAGCAAAGGATTTGAATAGACATTTCACCAAAAACGACTTCCAAATTGCTATGAAGCACATGAAAAATGCTTAACATCACGAGGAATTAGAGAAACGCAAATTAAAACGAAAATGAGATACTACACACCTACTAGAAGTATCAAAAAGACTGACGATACCAAATGTTGGCAAAGATATAGAGCCACTGGAACCCTCAAATATTGCTGGTGGGAACATAAAATAGTACAGACACTTGAGAAAATATTTTGGTAGTTTCATAAAAAGTATATCATGCACTTACCACACAACCGAGTAATTCCACTCCTAGACATCTACCCAAGGTCACAACTTCGTTAACTTTTAATTCAAGAAAGTGTCTGAAAAATAAGGACTGCGGTTATTAATCAATCCTACTAAGAAGCATTGTTCCTATGGATTGATTTGGAAACTATAATACGAGAGACAAATTTACTAACCCTTCCCCCAACCATGACTTAAATCAACTATAGTCCAATAGAAAATAAAAATTTTTTAAATAAATAAGTAAATAAATAAAGTAAGTGGAGGGCTACAGGCATTGTTTTTAAAGTGTTAGAATGCTTGACTTTGGTTATTGGTTCCTATAAACTTGTCCAGCAGCCCTCTTTAATGTCATGAGTACAGGTGTCCTGTTCCCATTCATAGTTCTTCAGCCATGGGAACACCAAGATGAAAAGTCCAGCATTCAAAAAAAAAAAAGGGACTTCTCGGGGCTTCCCTGGTGGCGCAGTGGTTGAGAGTCCGCCTGCCGATGCAGGGGACACGGGTTTGTGCCCCGGTCAGGGAAGATCTCACATGCCGCGGAGCGGCTGGGCCCGTGAGCCATGGCCGCTGAGCCTGCGCGTCCGGAGCCTGTGCTCCGCTACGTGAGAGGCCCGCGTACCGAAAAAAAAAAAAAAGGGACTTCTCTGGTGGTCTAGTGGTTAAGACTCCAAGCGTCCACTTCAGGGGGTCATGGGTTCAATCCCCGGTCGGGGAACTAAGATCGCACATGCTGCGCGATGCGGCCAAAAAAAATCCAGCATTCTCCATGAGCTCTGTTCTTTTTCACTTGAATTCTGTTTGCCCAGAGTGGAGAGCACCACTCCCGAGGCGGGGTGTGGCTTTGGAGGAGAAAGACTAACCAGGGCTGTTGTCTGCGGTTGCCCGTGCCATGCCCTCTCACTGGGGAACATTTTGAAGTGATCTAACCACAACTCTTAGATGACCCACAGAAACTATCTAGATTCAGTAAATTCACAAGCATTCCCCCTAACCCTCTAAATTAGTCTTCCTCCTTTTTCTCTCTGGCTATGCCTCCTTCTTCTTAAGACCATTGATAGAAGATTTGTGAAGCCTGAGTTTGAATCCTCGTACACTAGCTAATGAGCTATGTGGCCTTATTCTAGTTCTGGGACTCAACGAGCTTATTTGTAAAGGAAGAATGGAACAAAGTGAGTGGTTCTTAACCCTGGCTACATGTTAAAAGCACTGGAGGAGTGTTTAAAAATTGCTAATGTCCTGGCCAGACCCCCAGACAATTTAGAAATTACCCATTATTCTTTATGGTATAAATAATTCAAAATCTGTAAAACAAAGAATGTAAAGACAAGAAAGTTTGAAAGTTTCAAACTGCCTTCTTCCAGGAATTCCCTGGCGGTTCAGTGGTTAAGACTCTGCACTTTCATTGCCGAGAGCTGGCTGGGGAACTAAGATCCCACAAGCCACGTGGCATGGCCAAATAAATAAATAAAAACCAAATCGTCTTCTTCCCATTTTAGCCACAGTAATTCTAAGCCCCCTGTGATGTTTCCCATCTTAGCACCCAGCACCATCTAAAAACCCTGGAGCATCCTCAACTCTGCTCTTTCATGCCTAAGGCGTCAGCAAATCCCATTGGCAAGATCTTCAAAATAGAGCCCTAGTCTGACCTTTTCTTACCACTCTTTTTTAAGCCACATTTATCTCTTTCTTGGGTCTGGCTTCAACATCTGTTTGCTCTGTGACCCATAAAAGGAGGCGGCTGGCCTAGCTAACCTCTGAGGTCCCTGCTAGACCCAAGAGTCTAGATAGTCTAACCCACAGGAGGGAGTGGACGCTGAGTAAGCAACTCACTATGCGCCAGGTGCTCTCCTTTTGCTATTCATTTCATCCTCATACCAACCCAGTGAGGCAGGTATCCTTATCCCCGCTTCGGAGAGACGAGGCACCTGAGACTCAGATGCTTCTGGCTGCCAAGCCAGGGCCCCCACCACTTGCTTCCTTGTTAACCGAGCCTGATTTTTGTCAGGGGTGGCAATGAGTCCAGCTCCTAGTGAGTCAGCAAGTCAAGATCTAGTCAAAGCCAGTTTTGGTGACCATGCTCTCTGCTTTACTTGTAGTTGGTACACAGGCAGGCATGAGAGATACAAGGGGAAGGCAGTTGGGGGGTCCTGGGAAAGTATTTTCTCCCTCATGAGAGAAAAAGGAGCAGAAGAGAAAGCCCTTTATGCCTCGTTCCTGCTGTTTCCGGCCTTGGATGTTATCAGGAGAGGAGGAAAAGCTGGAGGCTTTGTCAGTCTATGGCAGTTGTGAGGTGGGGGGATGGGATGTGTCTGAGGATGCAGGAGGAAAGGATGGGAAGTTTGGTCCTTGATGGTCTCACTGAGCCTGGTACTGTCCACCTCTGGGCTTCTTCTCCAGCAAATCACAAATGTCCTTATGAATGAAGGCAGGCTAGTCGAGAATCCTGTCACATGGTACCCAACGCATAAATAACTTGCCAAGGACGCGCAGCTAGGAAATGGCAGCACCAGGCTGCAAAGCCGAGTCTGTCCGTCTGCCTGTCTGCAGAGCCAAAGTGGACGGGCTCTCACCTCTGCCCTGCCCCCAGTTTAATTCCAACTCCGCAACTCTGAGAGAGGATGGGCTTGAACAAGCATGCAAGCGCTTCCCAGCCACAGCTGATGCTGGACCCAGATCTCAACACAGCCGCTCCTCTCACCTTTCTGGGCGGACACTTGCTGAAGGTCGGCCCTGTGGGAGTCAGGTTCCCCCTTCAGTGTTGTGGAGGCTGTTGTCAAGGGCCGTCATAATAAACAACAAGACTCGTCACTCATCTGCCTTCGTGGCACCCCCTTCGTTTCACTGTGCTTATGTCTGGAGCTTGATACACTCCACTCGCTTGTTTTCTGGAATTGGGGCTCAATAGGGAGGCCCTTCCCCCAAACCAGCATGTTCTCATCAGAGGGGCCTCAGAAATCAAGCTACTCACTTTGTACTGGACTCAGAGGGCTCAGGGGAGGATGAATGGAATGTCCTCTCTTCCTACTCCTGGCCTAACCCTGCACCCCAATAGGCTGGCCTACAGGTGTTGAAGCAAATAGATCTGAGGGCTGCCAAAAGGTTCGGCCACCTTCAAATGTCTGTCCCACTGACCTGCTCCAGCGTGAGAAATCCCTACTCTTAGTCCTAGGATATAGTAGTATTTCCAGACTGTACCTTTCACGAAACAAATACATTACTTAATAGGGATAGCAAATCAGCTTCCTTGCTATACATGAGACTTTTACATGCTGCTTCCATTTATATGGAGGTAAAACCTACCTCTGTTTGAAACTGCATACTTTTAACATGTGATTTCTTGTTACCTGTTTCTCTTTCTCAATAGTTCGTAAGCTCTACGAGTGTGAGAGGGCTTATATTTTTTTTTACTTGCTATTGTAGTCTGAGCAGCTAGTGTGGTGCCTGGCATTTGATAGGTAGTTAATAAATATATACGGAAGGAATAAATGAATTGCAGTATAATGGAGAGGGAAAGGAAGTGGAGACAAGTGTAACAACTCTTTTGAGGAGACTGGCTGAGAGGAGAGAGAATGGGTGTGGTTAAAGGAGGGCACAAAGGGCAGGGAGATTGTTAATAGGACAGGCAGGAGAAAGGGATGGGAGAGAAGTAGGATTTTCAAGTCAGCACTGTCCATTGCCAGCCCCAGGTGGCATCGTTTACATGGCATTACATGTGGATGACACCTGCTATGGCTGTGTGATGCAGTGGCCCAGTTGCATATAAGAAAGAAGTGATCATTGATGGAGAGGAAGATAGGGCCAGGATCTAGAGCACAGGTTGCAGTACTCATCCTTTGAGACTGGATAGAGGAATATATTAGGGGTAAAGTGGGAGGCAGGAAATAAGGACAGTTTTTGCCCAACGACCTAATTTTTTGGTCACCTAGGAGATGAAGCCATCCCACTATGAGAGAGCTGGGCTGTGTGAAAGGCTTAAGGAGAGTGATGAGGGTTTGTAAGGGAAGAGAGAGTTGGCTAAAGACAAGTAAAAGGTCTGGCACAAACAGAGGACCCTAGCAGATCTGGGATCATCAAAGAGAAAGAAAAGGAGGCTGGGAAACACAGCGGGGGAAGAGCTGAAGGCTGGAAGGATGTCTTCCATGCACAGCCTCTGATCCACAAATGGTGACAAAACTACTTTTATGTAAGTGGTCAGGACTCAGAAAGCATTGTCCTATTGGAACTATTGTTTACAGTGATTCAATTCTCCAGCCAGCAACCTGCCAAAGCCCATTTATTCCTCCAAGTCCATGAGGTCATGAGCTAATGCTATATTAATACTTCAATATCACCTCCCATGATTACTAATTAACAACTTTTTAAGGGAAAAGGTATTCCAAGTTACAGATCAGTAGAACTGGAACACTTCTGCCCACCACCGTCCATCTCTGAGTCTCTCCCTCAGCATCCCTGCCCAACATGTGGTAAGAGACTTGGTCAGCCTTCGGAGACAGCCCCTTTGGTGGAACCAAGCCTCTATGTACTGAGAACTTGTTAGTTGCATTCACTGAACCAGGCACTGGACCTGTATGCACTTGTAAAGGGAGCAAGAGCTCCCCCAGGAGGTCTGAATTGCACACTACTGGCAGTGCCATCGCTCAGGCTTGGGGGAGGGCAGCGTTTAAGAAGTGCACTTTCTCAGACAAGTCTCTCTTTGATGGAGAGGTCATTACTACGTCATAACACTTGACCATTGAAAGGGCCTTTAGACTTTGATCCAGCAGTTCTATTTCTAGAAATCTACCTGGTTGAAATACCAGCACAAAGGTGCAAAGATAATACTCAAAGCTGTTCACTGCAGTATTATTTGTAATTAATAAAAGCTGGAGAGCTTCCCTGGTGGCACAGTGGTTACGAATCCACCTGCCAATGCAGGGGACACGGGTTCGAGCCCTGGTCTGCGAAGATCCCACATGCCGCGGAGCAATTAAGCCCGTGCACCACAACTACTGAGCCTGTGCTCTAGAGCCCGCGAGCCACAACTACTGAAGCCAGCAAGCCACAACTACTGAAGCCCGCGTGCCTAGAGCCCGTGCTCCACAACAAGAGAAGCTACCGCAATGAGAAGCCCGCGCACCGCAACAAAGAGTAGCCCCCGCTCGCCGCAACTAGAGAAAAGCCCGCGTGCAGCAATGAAGACCCAACGCAGCCAAAAATAAATAAATTTTAAAAAATAAAAAAATAATTTAAAAAAAGCTGGAAACATGCAAATATTCGTCAACGGGGGAAAATGAGTAAATTAATTTTGGTAACCTTGTCCCACTGCATAGTGGCCCACGATGTGACCCTTAAAAGAATACGATAGATCTACATGTATTAACACGGTATATAATCGATATATTCATGATACATAATTGATGAAAAAAGTGGGTTTGAAATAGTATGTGTGATAGGAAATTAGATATAGCTACATAACAAAATATGCACATGTTAAAATGTATATATGCATACATGATTACAAAAGTACATATTAAAAAATACCATGTAGGATGAGCCTCTAATTATTAATAATGGTTACCTCCAGGGGAAGGACTAGAGGAGGAGAAATGGAACTTCCATACTTCCTACATTACAGAATCGCCAGAACATTTTTACAATGAGCATGAATTACTTCTATATTAGAATAGCTTTTGAACTAATTTTTACAGATATTAGACATTGTAAATATGTTAGTGCACCATAAATTAATCTATAAATAGATTGTTCTCCCAGTGAAAATTCCACAGGGTCTTTTTTTGGAATCTCACAAGCTGATTCTAAAGTTCATATGGAAAAATAAACATACTAGAATAACCAAAAATTTTCTGAAAAGGAAAAGAAATGAGAGGAGACAAACCCTAGCAGGTATTAAAATGCACTGTCAAAACTACAATAATTAATAGACTCAGCTGGAGAGTAACCCGTGAATAGACAGGCAGATCAATTCAATACAAAAGAGCCCAGAAATAGACACAAATGCTTGTGAAAAATTGTTATGGGATAAAGGTGTCCCTTCAAACCAGTGGGGATCAACAAGTCCTTCAATAAACAGTATTGGGGGCTTCCCTGGTGGCACAGTGGTTGAGTCCGCCTGCCGATTCAGGGGACACGGGTTCGTGCCCCGGTCCGGGAAGATCCCACATGCCGCGGAGCGGCTGGGCCTGTGAGCCATGGCCGCTGAGCCTGCGCGTCCAGAGCCTGTGCTCCGCAACGGGAGAGGCCACAACAGTGAGAGGCTCGCATACCGCAAAAAAAATAAAAAAATAAAAATAAACAGTATTGGAACAACTGGGTTGCCAGCTTGGAAGACAAAAGAACTGAATCCCTCATTTGATCCCTACACCTAATAAATTCCAGGTGACTCTAGATATAAACGTTAAAGAGAAAAACTATAAAAGTACTAGAAAAAAGTATGAGCGAATATGAGCATATTTTATAATAAAGGAATGGAGAATAGGACACAGACATCTTTGGAGGCCATTACTCTGCCTGCCCCAAAAGGTACCACTGAGCTGGTGCCTCTTCTACCCCGGGCACTGAGGACACAGGAGGACAGTAGCCACATAACCCTTGCCTCATAGAGTTCATATTCCAGCTGCGGGCGTTACGGAACCCAAGCTCATTCTGCTCACCGCACGACAGGCCCGTAAATTGGGAGACAAGCTGTCGCAACAAGGAATAACGCTTTTAATCAGAAAGCTAGCAGACCGAGAAGACACACCAGCGTCTCAAAAAAGCCATCTTCCCTCAGTCCGAATTCTGGGCTCCTCTTATACAGAAGAGGGGAGGGGGCGGGGCCACTGCAGCGCCGACCAATGGCTGAGCGGGGCTGCTACAGCTCGCTCCTGCCCCGCCCCTATTACAGGGGGAGGGAGGCAATAAACAAAAACACAAATAAAATAAATCATGTTAGATGGTGATTAGTTCTATGGAGAGGTACAGAGCAGGAAAGGAGGCAAAGGTGAGTTGAGGCTGGGTGAAGGGATTTAGAGCCAGGAAGCCCTCACTGGGAAGGGGACACTGGTCTGACGGAGGAAAGTGAGCAGCTGTGCAGACACCTGGGGGGAAGAGCATTCCAGGTAGAGGGGACAGCAAGTGCAAAGGCCTTGAGGCTGGAGTGCATCTGATACATTCACAGAGCAGAAGGTGACAAGTGGGGCTGGCGGAGGGTAAGAGAGATGGTGGGGAAAAAGGCCAGAGAGAGTTGGGAGGAGGTCTTTTCCTTGGAGTGAGATAGAACCTCTGGAGGAATTTAAGCAGAGACTAATAAGGTCTGCCTTCCTAAAATTCTGTTCAAATGCAAGGCAGGAAGCCAGGAGGTTATCGCGGTGATCACTGTAGAAAGTGATAACGTGGTTCACGGTACTAGCAGTGGAGGTGAAGAGGAGCAATTTGATTTTGTGATCTGACAGGATATGACATACAGCCAGAGCTACAGACAGATTGTAGGATGTGAGAAAACTGGTAAGTCAAGAACGACCCTAAGGGTTTTGGTCTGAGCAGTTGGAAAGATGGAACTGCCATCACTGGAGAAAGAGGTTCAAGAGAGAAGTTGGGCTTCCCTGGTGGCGCAGTGGTTGGGAGTCTGCCTGCCGATGCAGGGGACGCGGGTTTGTGCCCCGGTCCGGGAAGATCCCACGTGCCGCGGAGCGGCTGGGCCCGTAAGCCGTGGCCACTAGGGCCTGAGCGTCTGGAACCTGTGCTCCGCAACGGGAGAGGCCACAACAGTGAGAGGCCCGCGTACCGCAAAAAAAAAAAAAAAAAAAAAAAAAAAAAGAAGTGGATTTGGGGGCGATAATTAGTTCATTTGGGAAATGTTAATTTTGAGATTCTATGTTAATGTTAATAAATGTTCATAAAATGTTAATTTTGAGACATCCAGTAGAGCTGCCAAATGGGCAGCTGTAAATCCAAATCTTGACTTCAGGAAAGAGGGCTAGAAGATAAAAGTTGGGAGTCAGAGAAATGGCATTTAAAAACGTGAGATTGAACAATGGGGTCACCCGTTGGCAAAGCCAAAGTTTGGACCCAGATCTTGGTCCTGCCTTTCTACATTGAAGATTTGAGGTGGAGAACTAGCTGTATTCCTTATCCTTTGTTTCGTTTAGAGAGCAATTAATTTCTATTTTTCTGTTTTTAGTAGGAAAGTATTTCATGTTCAATTTAGAGACCAGACACCAGATAATAAACACCCAAAATGTAAATGACCTATAATCTCATTAAGCATAATCGCTCTTAGCCATTTGATATATTTCCTTTCAGACTCTTGCTAATGTATATATTTTGTATGACACACAATGCCCAAAAAGTATTAGTTGGTTTTGCCTTTTTATAAAAAAAAAATATATGAGAAAGGAAATGTGGGGCCCCTTGGGAGACTCACCTGGTGAATATCCATCCATGAAAATATCATCACTCTCTCCAAGGCAGGCTTTCTGCCCAAGATGCCTCGTTTTGCACAAGGATGGTCAGTGCTTCCCCTTGGGCTGTGCGGCCACTCGGCTCTGCCATCTACTGAGCAGATGAGGAGCCTGGCTTTCTTTTTTTTTTGTTTCTTTGGCGGTACGCTTGCTTCTCACTGTTGTGGCCTCTCCCATTGTAGAGCGCAGGCTCCGGACGCGCAGGCTCAGCAGCCATGGCTCACGGGCCCAGCCGCTCCGCAGCATGTGGGATCTTCCTGGACCGGGGCACAAACCCGTGTCCCCTGCATCGGCAGGCGGACTCTCAACCACTGCGCCACCAGGGAAGCCCGAGCCTGGCTTTCTGACGTGTACCTGTGGCACCTGGTGGATAAACACATAAATGGGCGCTGGCTGGTGTGACTCTCTTGTGTATAACAGGCCTCACCGCCACGGGGCTTCCACCCGTAGTTGGGTAAGTGAGAGGCTCGTTCTGTGGCAGCAGGAAATTTACTTCCTTACACAAGCTGTGAGGTTCAGGAAAGGGTATTCAGCAGCGGTTTCACAGCGGAGAGAGGAAACCCCTGGGAATTCATTTTGTCTTTTCAGCTCCCAGAACATCTCATTCGGAGAGGAACTGTCATCTTTCTATTCCTGACCTAGTACTAAGGCTCAGAACCAGTGACCTGCCTGCATTTTGCCTGAATTTCTTGCAAACTGTGAGGCCGAAGAGAGAGCAGCTGCTCTAAATACTGATTTGCGAAGGGAGTACAGGGTGAGGGGCAAAATCTGGCCCCTCACCTGCTCCCATACACACACCTTCCCCGCTCCATGCCCCATCCTTCCAGTTGCTCCCGCCAGCACAAGAGGAAACTGTGACACGACCACGGGGACCCCAGAGTCAGGATTTTTATCACCATGGAGGTAAGTCATCTCTTACAACAATGCCCGTAAGACACAGCCTCACTCACCCCTGCCAGAGCCTGACATCATGTGCAGATAAAAGCACAGATTTTTGTTTTTAATATTCTTTTTTTTTTTCCACGCTGTGTGGCATATGAGATCTTAGTTCCCCGACCAGGGATCGAACCCATGCCCCCTACATTGGTAGGGTGGAGTCTTAACCACTGGACCACCAGGGAAGTCCTATTCTTGCTTTTTGACCAAGTAATCATACTTTTATATATATATATATATATATATATATATATCCATTTATTTATTTATTTATTTTATTTTTGGCTGCGTTGGGTCTTTGTTGCTGCAGGAGGGCTGGGCTTTCTCTAGTTGCAGCGAGCAGGGGCTACTTTTCATTGTGGTGCGTGGGCTTCTCATTGTGGTGGCTTCTCTTGTTGCGGACCAAAGGCTCTAGGCATGCAGGCTTCAGTAGTTGCGGCTCGTGAGCTCTAGAGCGCAGGCTTAGTAGTTGTGGCACACGGGCTTAGTTGCTCCACAACATGTGGGATCTTCCCGGACCAGGGCTCGAACCCATGTTCCCTGCATTGGCAGGTGGATTCTTAACCACTGTGCCGCCAGGGAAGTCCCCAAACCACAGATTTTAGAGGCAGCATACCTGGGCTCAAATCCCACCTTGATCAAGTTACTTAATCCCAGACTTGGTTTTCACACCTGCAAAATTGGGATGATAATACCCACCTCTCAAGGCTGTGGGGCAAGGCTAAATAAAATGTCTGCAGATCCCCTGGTCCATAGTAGGTCACAGAAAATGTTATTTCCTGCTCCTGTTCATGGAGACCAGTCTTGTTGACGTGGATTCCCTCTCTGCATCCTCCTTCTGGGGACCTCAGAAGGTCATCTGGCAACACACTTCTCCCTTAGTATCTTCAATAGTGCTCTAGAGAGGGAATCACACGTCATTACCTTGACATTTGCAGTTGATACTAAAATAGATGTGAGGTGAAGTGCTGAGACTCAAAGTCACAGTTCAGGGCCTAAAGAGGGTTCAAAATGAAAATGACCTAGGGGAAGAAGTTAATTTGGGAAAATGTGAGTAACTCTCTTCGGGGGGAAGTGTAGACGCTCTCCCAAGTTGCCTCAACAGCACCAGTCGGTGAGGAAGGTGGAGTGTGGCCAGCCTGGGTATTGAAAAGTTGTTCCTGTCCCAGGGTCTGAGGGGTCTTGAAGGGTGAGAACTGCTGAGGCCTCCAGAAGAATCATGTGTGTGGGTCCCGAGAGGAATGCCTGAGCCCCACTATTATGAATGGCTTCATCAGGTAATCTCACCGTCATTTCAGAGTCCTCCAAGGGGAAATGGGAAGGCAGGAGATAAGGCATCTCATCCTTTTCCACTTAGGCGTCACTAGAAGATACACAGTGGAGAGCAGTAGGGAATATAAGAGCAACTTCAACTTAAAGTCAAAACTTCTAGTTTCAAGATAATTTCTACAAATGAGTATTAAATACAACGTGACAGGTAGGATAAAGGCCGACTCCTCAACATGGCGTGCTATGCCCTGCGTCCCTCCTATGTCTGCCTCCTACCAGCTGCCCAGAACTTTATTCACATCCTAGAACATGTGTCTCTCACACTTGTGCACCTCCACAAAAGCCCTTCTTTCCTCCTGATCTCAGCTCCAGGGGTGAATACTAGTTGTGTCCAAGGCCAATCTCAGTGCTCCCATTGCCATGCTGGTCATTGGTTTGGGTGTGAGCTTGTAACACAGATCTGGCAAAGAGATGAAAGGGAAATGTGCTGGGGGAAGAGGGGATTCTGGGAAAAGTTTTCCCACTAATTAAGTTTTAGCTTTTTTTTTTTTTTTGGCCACACTGTGCACTCGTGGGATCTTAGTTCCCCGACCAGGGATCGAACCTAGGCCCTCAGCAGTGAGAGTGTGGAGCCCTAACTACTGGACCGCCAGGGAATTCCCTTTTCCCACTATTTAAACAAAAAAAGAACATTAAACAAAAAGTTCCTCTCATTCTGCCAGACATTGTCATGTCTGTGTGTGAAGCCTGGAACCATGGCAGCCACTTTGTGACAGGGAGGGAGCTAAGCTGATATAATGAGGACTGCAAAGTGGAAAGATGGAAAGAATCTGTGGTTTTGACAACATTGTTTGAGCCAATGGACTACTCAGCCGTGGCAGCTGTTCTACCTCAAGACTTCTTGCTAAGTGAGGTAATGCATTTTTCTTATAGTTGTAGCCACCTGAGGTTTTTGCTCATTGACACTAAAAGTGTCCTAACTGATACAAGACTTGAAGTCAATTTTCAATGTTCTAATTTAATCATATAAATAGTCATAAGGCTAAATCGTCTTTCTCTGAATCTTCTAGTTTGTTTTGTGATGGGTTGGGGAAAATTGAGGGCACCATGAAGGAGGAGAAGCACAGTCTTTCTTGGCTGTCCATAAACTGAGACTAGCATGTGCCTGAATGAGTGTTTGTTCCTGCAGAGATGGGTAGTTACTTTTCTACATTTTACTAGGAAGTGTGTATGTATATGTTTTAAAAATGAGGATGCACTTGGACAATTTTAAAAGATAAGGACACGAGGGAAAAGCTAAAGGAGCTTTTTTTCTGTGAGAGGTTTAACGGAAGTCTATACTTGCAGAGTCAAGGCCTTTTTTCTACCATGCACAAGAGCACCTGGCCAACGGGGTGAGTGGGCACAAAAATCCAACTCGCTCCTGGCACAGGCTGCATCTACCTGAAGGAAGGGGTGCATTTTTTCTCAACTGCACAAAGGTACCATAAGGGCTAGCGGTAGTCTTATGGGCAATACTGTTTCAAGGCCGGTAACAAAGTATGGCATAGAGGTCTGAAGCAGATAAGAGGATCTATGTCCATGTTTTGCCCACAACTGCTCTAGAAGTCCAGGAAGTGGACTTCAGCAACAGCAGGAGAGAGTTACTTGAAACAGATGTTCTTGAAACCCTCAGGAGCATACCACTGTGTCTGAAAATTGCTTTAAATATTTCATCACTGATCAGATGTGATTACATGTGTGCTAGTTAGTTCAAGCATCATCTCTAAGTATGTCAGTTGTCCAAAGTAAGAATATGTGTTCCAGGGGTGATCAGTTGGCCTTACATCAAAAGAGCCATAACAGAGTATTTCCGATATCAGTCTTTCCTTCACTGCTTTGCTAACTGGAAGAGTGAATGTCAGAAACTGCTTTTTTTTTTTTTTTGCCGCACTGGGTCTTTGTTGCTGCTCGCAGGCTTTCTCTAGTTGCGGCAAGCGGGGGCTACTCTTTGTTGCGGTGTGCGGGCTTCTCATTACAGTGGCTTCTCTTGTTGCGGAGCACGGGCTCTAGGTGCGTGGGCTTCAGTAGTTGTGGCTCGCGGGCTCTAGAGCGCAGCCTCAGTATTTGTGGTGCACGGGCTTAGTTGCTCCACAGCATGTGGGATCTTCCCGGACCAGGGCTCGAACCCATGTCCCCTGCATTGGCAGGTGGATTCTTAACCACTACACTACCAGGGAAGTCCAGAAATTGCTTTTCAATGATGAAATTAGCAACTTGTTGACTAACATCATTCATGCTTAGAAATGCATTGTCATTTGGTAAAAGAAATTATATTTAAGATATGTAGGCTGGACATAATATTTTAGAGATATTTCCCACTCTTTATAGCCAGGAAGAAAGAATCTTGCACCCTGAGGAAGGATTGTTCCTAAATGGTCCCGTATCCAGCCATTGTTTCTGAGGATTCCTGGTTGCCAAAGCCCACTCTAACCTGAATTGAATCAGCCTCTGGAATGTTGGAGTCATCAGGGCAACTTTAATGGCAGGGAGCTGGAACTTCATTGAAATTACAGAAGAGGTTTTAGGACCATTTTGGTCCCTGCTGCTTGCTAATAAATGTTCCTGTAATAAGTATCAGCAGGGGTGGCAGAGTTTGGTCTGAGACTTGTTTTTATTATGAGAAGATTGTGGAGGTCCACTGAAATCTCTCCAAACCATCCCTGAGGTTAGTTTTCAACAGAAAACCATCCTCAATGGCAATACACAGTGAGGTTCCTTTAGAAAGTTTTCTTTTTATATTTATTTATTAGTTAATTTATTTTGGCTGTGCCGGGTCTTAGTTGCGGCATGCAGGATCTTCATTGAGGCATATGGACTTCTTAGTTATGGCATGCATGCAGGATCTAGTTCCCTGACCAGGGATTGAAGCTGGTCCCCTTGCATTGGGAGCACGGAGTCTTACCCACTGGACCACCAGGGAAGTCCCCCTTTAGGAAGTTTTGAGAGCAGTGGATTTTGTCTGGGGGAGCCAGAACATGAGGGACAGAACGTGGTGAATGGAAGAGAAAGAACAGGGTGATGCTGCATGATCATCTAGTGGACAAACAGATTTCTAAGCACTCGTGAGGCACACCTTTAGAAACTTCCAGAAATAAGTAGAAAGTAAGAGCTGCTGATATCTCACAGTACAGCTGGCTAAGGCTCAAACAATCTTAGTTTGGGCATTAAAAGCAAATGTAACTTCATTTCCTACCTACATACTGGAAAGGTCCAAAGTATTAGTTACATCCAGTGAAACTAAGCACGATTATATACACTACAGCATTTTAAGTGTGTAATGGTTGCAGGTATAAGCCATCCTGGAAAAAAAAAACAGTTGGAACAATCCAAGAGCAGAGGTCTTGATCCAAGTTATGGCTTCTGTGAAGTTTAATAGGGACACAGTCCCTTTTCCTCTACTGAGCTTGTGAAGAAGTTTTATCTACTACTTCTGGTGATTTTAGCTGTTATCTTCCTGGGAAGGGGAGGAGAGGAGTGGGTGGTAAAGCTTGTTGTGTCAAAGGCTTGTCATGGGGACCCTCTAGCTAGTAGTTTCAAATGACAATTACGGAGAAAACTGGGACATTTGGGGTTCCTGGATTTCTATCTTACCTTACAAGGCCATTTCGATGGGGTGACTGTTCAGAAGCATGGGTACCGCACGGAATGAGAACATTCACACAGGCCTTTGGGGGACTCATAACCACAGATTGACAGGAGATCCCTAGTCGCCTGTCCCGTGGAAGGCAAAACAGAACATTGAACAAGTCAACTGACCAATAGGTATTGAGCTTTTGTTAAGTGCCAAGCACTGTGCTGGTCACTGTGACCCAGTCCTGCTATGAATAGTCTTGTTAATAGCAAAGGCAAAACAAAACATGTTAGGAGTTGTAATCAAGTGGGGAACAAAAGCTGATGCCTTGAGTGTTTTTCATTCTAGCCAATTTGTTTGTACCAATAAGTAGAACAACGTCGAGCTTAATGCTTACTTCTCCTGAGCCTTGAGGTACCCTCAATTCCCTCTTCCTCCCTTCCCTCTTCCTCCCTTCCTTTCTTCTCCCCAGTAATGAAGAATTTCTGAGCATCTAATGTGTTTCAGACACTCATGCTAGATTCTGAGCATACAGAGATAAAAACATAAGTTATGGCCTTTTGGAACTCATGATCTCGTGTGTGTGTGTGTGTGTGTGTGTGTCTGTCTGTGAGAGGGTGGTGGTAGAAAGAAATAGATAAACAGACCATTAAAACACAACTTGATAGGGAATTCCCTGGTGGTCTAGTGGTTAGGACTCTGCGCTTTCACTGCCGAGGGCGTAGGTTCGATACCTGGTCAGGGAATTAAGATCCCACGTGCATGGCGCAGCCAAGAAAAACAAAAAACAAAGAAAAACTTGATAAATACTAGAATAGTGAGGCCTCAGGTAGCTCAGAGGAGATATATCAAACTCAGAAAATTTATGTCAAAGCTATAAACAAGCTCCCTGGAGGTGACGCCACTTGAGCTAGGTCTTAGAGGACAAGCCAAGTGGCCAGGGTGGAGAAGCAGGGTGAAGGGCCTTCAGGTCGGCCTGCAGCATGTGCAGTATGTGCTGTTGTGACTGCAGGAGGCCAAGGAGGGGCTCCAGGGAATTCAGCTTTCGGCAGCCGAGACACAGGATGCACTGGGGAAAGGATGGCAGCAGAGCAAGTTGGACTTTGGGCTGAGCCCGGATCACAGAAGAAACTGAACTTAATCCTGAAGGTGATAGAAAGTCAAGAGATTTAAAACAGAGAAGGAACAAAATATATTTTTGTTAGAGGATGTTGAGGACAGACTGCAGTAGAGAAGAAAGACAGAGACAGGGGGACTTCCCTGGCGGTCCAGTGGTAAAGATTCCGCCTTCCAATACAGGGAACGCAGGTTCCATCCCTGGTCGGGGAACTAAGATCCCACATGCCGCCGGGGCAACTAAGCCCGAGCGCCACAACTACTGGGCTCACATGGCTCAACAAGAGAGCCCGCGTGCTGCACACTACAGGGCCCACGTGCCCTGGAGCCCGAGCGCCGCAACTAGAGAGAGAAAACCCGCACACCACAACTAGAGAGAAACGCGAGCAGACCGCGTGACATTAACGAAGAGCCCGCGCACCACAACAAAAGATCCCGCATGTCTCAAGGAAGCTCCCACGTGCCGCAACAAAGGCCCGATGCAGCCAAAAAAAAAAAAAAGAAAGAGATAGGGTTGTGACAGCTGTTTACGGTGTAATTTTTAAAACAGTCCTTTCAGGTGTATTTATCCATAACATCAGTCTACTCCTATAAGTAGTCTATAATTGACATTTTTAAGTTGAAGTCTCATTATTCTCTAATACTGGTACCTGAATCAAGGAATGTTACTTGTCATTCCTGGGGAATCATGTTGCTGGGCAACTCTCCATCCGTTGCTTCAACAATTCTTCAATGGTTCTTTGTTTCAGAGAGAAGGCAACACTACTGGGATCAAAGAAATCACAGCTCAGCTTTAATTGTCAAATTGATTTGAAGGCCATGGTGAAGATAATAATATCGAAAGCTGGGTTTTACTGAGTGACAAAAGTATTTTCTAAATTCTGAAATTTTCCCCTTAAATAACAAGAAGTAAAGTTTGGACTATAGAGAAGGGAAGAACTTGGATAAGGGCAAAACATTTGGAAGAGGAAAGGGAGAGGGGGCAAAAGGTCAGATACAAATGTCTTGCTTGTCTTATGGGGTGGAAACTTCCAGAAAGGGTGTAAGGAACCCATTGTTACATTTTGAGAAACCTGAGAACACTGGGGTTTTATGTTGGAGGAGACCACAGGGCATTCAAAGAAGTCCTACATTGGGCAATGGCCCTGCATTGATGCCTTTAAGGAGTGATAGAGCAGCTTCATTCAAGAGCAGTTAGTGGTCCCAGTGGACCCCAGTCTACATGTCACATGAGGAGGCTTGAGGAGGACGCAAAAGTACCAGTAGTGGATGAGAAAATGCTAAGAAAACTGGTAGGCCAGAGGAAGACTGGGAATCAGGAGGAAGCGGTCACAGAACATAGAGTCTTGTGACTAAAGGCTGTTTCAGGAAACTTCAGCTTTATCAGTGATTCCCAGAATTCCAGCCAGGACCCATTACTTCTCAGCATCACAGGTACAGTTGGTCCAGTGACCCTGTAGGATGAGGGCCATCTCGTGGAAGGCAGGGGAAACCCAAAGCACCCTCATCCCCTGCACCCAAGTGCCCAAGGAGAAGGGAGATACAGTCCTGAGACAGGAAGTGAATTTGAATCCACTATTTACCCCCAGCTGACAATTTTAAACTGGAAGAGACTGAGTTAAATTAAAAAAAAAATTGTAAGTGTGTTCCTCAGCATGAGCAAGGACATTGGTCTCAAGCAGGATGGGCTCAGTTCATGAATATAAGGTTACTTGGGGGTTTTTGCATCTGAGTTGTAGTGTGTAAACTTCTATTCTGCTTTACCCGTGTATATCTCACACACACACACACACACACACACACAAACACACACACACGCTTATGAATTCCTTCTCTAACAAAAATCATCATGTCAAAAATAGCAGACAACAACAACAACAACAACAAAAAAATAGCAGACAACAGAAGATCCTAGGGGAGGTTGGCTTTCAAATGAAAAGGCTGAGGATTCTTTTACTTTACAGTATGGGAGGCAACAGAGTGCAATGGTTAAGACCATGGAGCCCGATGTGTAGTCTTCAAACCCGGGTTCCACTTGGGCAAGTCCTTTATATCTCAGTGCCTCAGTTTCCTCCTGAGGAAAATGGAAATAATAATCACACCCACTTCATAGGCTTGATATGAATACTAACCGGGTTTGATCTGGGAAGCATTTGGAACAGCTCCTGGCATCGAGTGATGCCCTCTCAGACTCTGGTCTCAGGATCTCAAACTCTTGAGGGACTTGTGATTGAAGGCAGGGTCACATGTGAGATGGTGATTTAGAATAACAAATGTCAGCTTTTTATCTAGACTTCTGAATCTGGGCGGTTCCTTTGGCCATAGCCCTTCTTTCCCCCTAAATCTGTCTATTCAGTGGATATAAGATTGTTTTGTCTGTTTCTGACACTAAAGGACTGTGAAAATTAATGAGGACAAAGTCTGTGAAGTGCTTTGAAGTTTTTAAAGGAAAACTGAATAAAAAACAAAAGATGAGAAAATTTTTGAGGCACCTTTTCACCATCTGTAACATTCAACTGTTTCATCATTGTTGTCTTTCTTCTAGGGCTCTCTATGTACTTGCCAGCTGAAAAAAAAGAGAAAAAATAGCAATCAGAAATACAATACGTTTCATGAAATGTTTGGCGTTTTAATCTCTCATAAATTATAGAGCTGAATGGCCTACAGTATATTTTAGATATATTTGCTGGTAGACTTTTTAAAAATTTCATCACTGTGGTAGCATTTAACACACAAGAAGGAATTTCTCTTAGACCTGAATCCAGAAAATTAATCTAACACCTGTTTAAAAATAGAGATGGTTACTTTCTATGTCCTTTTCTCTATTTTTAAAAGCCCACTACTTGTTCATTCGCCTTGCCCAGATGTTAACTGGGAAATGGAAATCTTTTTTTAAAGCCTAGCTAGAAGAACTCACAGATACACAAAAGTGTTGATAGCACCAAAGGTGCAACTTACATCAAAATCTCACAGGATTCAAAATTTTAAGGATCTGTTGTTGCCACTTCACCTTCCATTATTAAATGCATAGAAATCACAAGGTGTGTACCTGTGAGAATTTCGTGAATTAACAAACATCTATAATATAGAACTAATGCGGGTGACATTTAGGTTTTGAGGCAGAGCTAAATTCAGGTTTTTCAAAGCTTGGTCAGCTGTTCGATACAGATATTGTTTTTAATCTAGTGCTATGATCACTTCATCACATAAGCATGTTTCTTGAAATGGCAGGAAACTTGAGGTTTGAGATATTTTTAGGAGGCGTAGTTCCTATAATCCTCCTAGATGCAAATATGAATTAAACTCAGCTGGATCCACCACCAAGATCTAAAGCAGTGTTTTTCAAACTGGGTCATGGCCCATTCACAGGCCCTGAAATCACCTTATGAATCAAAACCAGCATTAAAAAAATTAGAAGATAACAGAAAACATAACATCATAGTAGTAGTGCATCTTATGGGGAAAGAGAAAGATTTGTTTCTGTGTGTGTGTGTGTGTGTGTGTGTGTGTGTGTGTGTGTTGGGTTATGATACACAGTGTTTCTCAGGGTGAGCCAATAAAATATATTTGAAAGCTGCTGATCTAAGATTACTGTATGCATACTTCTTAGCCAATATAAACTACTAGTAAGAGGAAAACAGTACACACCTAATGGAAAAATAATTTTTCAATAAATTTCATAGACCTTGAAATTACCCACAGCCTCTAAACCAGTTATTCCACCTTTGGATATTCATCTTAAGGAAATAATCCAAAATTCAGACAAAGATTATTACATAGAAATATTCACTGCACTGTTATTCATTGTACTGGAAACCCCCAACAGCTTAAGTGCTCAATAACATAGTAATAGTTAAGTCAATTTAGAACATGAAAACTAGTTGAGTATGGCATCATCATTAAAGGCAACATTTTCAGAGGATTTATAGTGATGTGGGGAATGCTTATAATATTAAATAAAAAAGCATTCAAACTTGCTTATACTCTATATTAAGAAATGCAAAACTTGTTAAAAGAAAAATGCTAAAATAGTGGTTTTCTGAGTTGAGTTATGGATAATTTTCATTCTGTTTTTCTATATTTTTCAAGTTGACTACAGTGCACGTGTATCATATCTATTGTCTAAGGGAAAACAGGTGTTTCTTTAAAAACAGGTTCCCCCTTCCCAGGATAATAGTGTGTGTTCTTATCAGCCAAGTAGCAGTGCTTTTGCAAGGATGCCACCTTGGTTGACTCCCCTGTTGGTCCACAGAGAGTAATATTGCCCTTCTTTCACATGTATATTCATAGTGTAATGACTCTGAAGATTCCAGTTCACACTATTCCTGGGTGATTAGTGCCTGCCCATGGGTGATCTTCCTTTTCTCAAGACCAGCACATCAGTTTCCTATCCCTGCTATAACAGATTACCATCAATCTGGCAGCTTAAAACAACACAAATTTCTCTTCTTACAGTTCTGGAGGTCGGGAATCCAAGATGGTTCTCACTGGGCTAAAATCAAGGTATCACCAGGCCTGAGATCCTTCTGGACATTCTAGGGGAGAACCTGTTTCCTTGCCTTTTCCAGCTTTTACAAGCCACCAGCATTCATGGCCCCTTCCTCCATCTTCAGAGCCAGTGGCATAGCATCTTGAACTCTCTCTCTCCCTGCTTCCATCTTCACATTGCCCTCTCCTCCAACTCTGACCCTCCTGCCTCCCTTTTAACAAAGACCTTTGAGATTACACTGGGCCTGCCTTGATAAGCCAGGGTAACTCACTATCGCAATATCCTTAATTTAATGATATCGGCAAAGTCCCGTTTGCCATGTAGTAACTTATTCACAGGACATGGACATCTTTAGGGAGACCATTATTCTTTCTACCATCACCAGGTTTGACAAAACAGCTTAAAACGGGGGCAGGATGGGGGAAGGGTCATCTCTCTTGCATTACCGATAGAGTGGTTTGAAAACTGCACTGTGCCCAGGTAGCTGCCCCAGTTGTGTGTGGACCCATGATTTTCCACCAGAGGACAACATCCATTAATAACAGGATGTGTCACTCAGTCACTGGCAATAGCCAAAGGTTAGCCAAAGAAGAGATGGTTTCCAACTTTACTGTTACTATGCAAGTCTAAGCATCTCAGAAATGTAGATAAGGTGCAAAAGTACACATAAATAGATGCTAAAGGACCTGCAGGGTTTTTTTTCTTTCTTGTAGTTGATTTCTAATCTCACAGCATTGTGATCAGAAGAGATGCTTGATATGATTTTAATTTTCTTAAATTTCCTGAGACTATTTTTGTGGTCCAGCATGTGATCCATCCTGGAGAATGTTCCATGTGCACTTGAGAAGAACGTGTATTCTGCTACTTTCATATGGAATATTCTATAAATATCAATTAAGTCCATCTGCTCTAATGTGTCATTTAAGGCCTCAAAATGGGTTAAAGACCTAAATGTAAGGCTGGATACTATAAAACTCTTGGAGCAAAACACAGGCAGAACACACTTTGACATAAATTGCAGCAATATATTTTTGGATCCACCTCCTAGAGTAACACGAATAAAAACAAAAATAAACAATCATGATTCCCTTCTATTATTGTCTCTTAGGCTATTGCTATGTAGATGACAAATGAGCCAGAAAAGGGAGATTATGAGCTCAAAAAGTTCAGAGGTTATTCTAACTCACTTCTTTTTTTATTTTAGAACTTTTAAAGTTCCTCAAGTAATACCACATTGTAAACGAAGTTAGAAAATACAATTAAGCAGTAATAAAAGGAGTGTTTGTATGTCACGCCTGGTTCTTCAAAGCTGAATACAGGGACTTCCCTGGTGGTCCAGTGGTAAAGAATCTGCCTTGCAATGCAGGGGACTCAGGTTTGATTCCTGGACAGGGAACAAAGATCCCACATGCTACAGGGCAACTAAGCCCGCACACCACAATTACTGGGCCCACGCAGCCTCAACTAGTGCCCGCATACCGCAAACTACAGAGCCCACGCCCTCTGGAGCCTGTGTGCCACAACTAGAAAAGAGAAAACCCGCAAGCCACAACTAGAGAGAAGTCTGCACACCACAACGAAGAGTCCGTGCACCACAATGAAAGATCCCGCGTGCCTCAAGGAAGATCCCATGTACTGCAACTAAGACCCAACAGAGCCAAAAATAATTTTTTTTAAAAAAAGCTGAGAGAAGATGGCGGAAGAGTAAGACGCGGAGATCACCTTCCTCCCCACAGATACACCAGAAATACATCTACACGTGGAACAACTCCTACAGAACACCTACTGAACACTGAAAGAAGACCTCAGACCTCCCAAAAGGCAAGAAACGCCCCACGTACCTGAGTAGGGCAAAAGAAAAAAGAATAAACAGAGACAAAAGGATAGGGACGGGACCTGCACCAGTGGGAGGGAGCTGTGACGGAGGAAAGGTTTCCACACACTAGAAGCCCCTTCGCGGGCTGAGACTGCAGGTGGCGGAGTGGAAAGCTTTGGAGCCGCGGAGGAGAGCGCAGCAACAGGGGTGCAGAGGGCAAAGCGGAGACATTCCCGCACAGAGGACCGGTACCGACCAGCACTCACCAGCCCGAGAGGCTTGTCTGCTCACCCGCCGGGGCGGGCGGGGCTGGGAGCTGAGGCTCGGGCTTCGGTCGGAGCGCAGGGAGAGGGCTGGGGTTGGTGGCGTGAACACAGCCTGCAGGGGGTTAGTGTGCCACGGCTAGCCGGGAGGGTGTCCGGGGAAAAGTCTGGACCCGCCGAAGAGGCAAGAGACTTTTTCTTCCCTCTTTCTTTCCTGCTGTGCGAGGAGAGGGGATTAAGAGCGCTGCTTAAAGGAGCTCCAGAGACGGGCGCGAGCCGTGGCTAAAAGGTTGGACCCCAGAAACGGGCATGAGACGCTAAGGCCGCTGCTACCGCCACCAAGGGGCCTGTGTGCGAGCACAGGTCACTCTCCACACCCCTCTTCCGGGGAGCCTGTGCAGCCCGCCACTGCCAGGGTCCCGGGATCCAGGGACAACTTCCCCGGGAGAACGCACGGCGCGCCTCAGGCTGGTGCAAGTCATGCCGGCCTCTGCCGCCGCAGGCTCGCCCCGCACTCCGTGCCCCGCCCTCCGCCCAGCCTGAGTGAGCCAGAGCCCCGATTCAGCGGCTCCTTTAACCCTGTCCTGTCTGAGCGAAGAAGAGACGCCCTACGGCAACCTACACGCAGAGGCAGGGCCAAATCCAAAGCTGAGCCCCGGGAGCTGTGAGAACAAAGAAGAGAAAGGGAAATCTCTCCCAGCAAACTCAGGAGCAGCAGAATAACTGAGGAAGAAGAACGCATAAGTGACCTGGAAGATAAAATAGTGGAAATAACTACTGCAGAGGAGAATAAAGAATAAAAAGAACTGAGGACAGTCTCAGAGACCTCTGGAACAACATTAAACGCACCAACATTCGAATTATAGGGGTTCCAGAGAAAGAAGAGAAAAAGAAAGCGACTGAGAAAATATTTGAAGAGATTATAGTTGAAAACTTCCCTAATATGGGAAAGGAAATATTTAATCAAGTCCAGGAAGCACAGAGAGTCCCATACAGGA